AATGTAATGTTAAATAAAGGAATTGCTTTGATTATCTCGGGCCCACCAACGATAGTTAGCACTTTTCTGAGTACAACTCATGAATTTCAGTGAAAATTAATAAGTAAGCATGGAATGTTATGTTCATACAATTTTTACAATATTATTATGAAAAATTCGAATATGAAACAATTGACATTTTCTAATTACTAAATTAATACAACTCGCATGTATTTTGGTCATACGTTATACATACATAACCATTTTGTGATGTTCAGTAAGTCATAGTGTTGAATTATATAACAGCAAAATAGTTTCCACATAGTTTTAAACGGTTTTCATCAGTTAATAATACACTTTGCTGAGTCTAATTCAAGAAATACATTGTGTAAATAAGTGGGTGGAATAATCTGTGCCAAATGTGATTGAAGCGAATAAACTAAAAACCAATAACATAACTTTTTCGTTTAAGTCATTAAAGAAATTCGAAAGAGTTATATTATCACCTTAAAAAGTTCTTATCAGAAACTCTTTATTCTTTCATATAACGTCTTTGTATCGACCAAACTTTTCAGCTTTTTATAAAATGTAAAAACAAAAAGGGCAAATAATTAATACATAATATATATTTTTAAATACTAAACAACTATTGTTGTAATATTCAAAGCCTGTCTATCACAGTGGTTAAATGGCTCGAAAAATCCATTAAAACTTAGTTAAGAGATAAAAAAACCTATCATCATTTTGGAATTAAACTAAAATGTTATCGATTCAGTGTCAGTGAATAAGGTTAAGTTTTATAATTAATTTGTCTTTAGATATTTGAATCACATTTTGTATTACAAGTGTACAGTTAAACGTATACGTACATTAAGTTCACATTACATGCACACAAATGGTGAATAATTATGGTGACTTTTTTTTATTGTGAAACACGAAATATCTTAAAAGTTATAAACATTTCATGGGATTTCTATGTATTTTCATTTTTAAACGGTTACAAGTACAACATACTATTTTAAATTGTCTACGATTAATCTGCGTTTGTTCTTAAAACTCAAAAATGTTTTATATTTTCTAAGATATTGCCTGTAGTTCCAGGATAAAAGAATCATCTAACTTGTATATATACTTATATTGTATAATATATTATAATCGTCAATCAAATTCGAGTTTTTTTATTATTTATTCTGTCGATAAACGGAACGTTGGTCTTGTTACGATGAAAAAAAATGGCCGTAGAACGTTTTATGTACGTATATAATATATATATATATATGTATATAATATTTAGACCAGTGTTCTGCACATCGATACGTCCATTTATAACGTTTGCCTTGCCGTGAGTGGTTGACCCATATCCTCTAATACATTATTCTAATATACGGCCATTTCGTCAGAAAACGACATAAATCACACAGAGGCTTTTATCCTGCTGTATAATATCGAAGGGCAAAACGTAATAATATACACTCCACAGATATGTTTATGGTGTACCAGACATATTCGGCTGTCCGAATCTTAACATTTCTCCCATTTCGCATGCTCACCACTTGACCATCATACTACGTGTAGGTATAAGCGATAAACCATAGCGACTATGACAATACTAATATTATACATTTGTCTTGGGGAAATAATTTAGGACTATCGAATTCTATCGGACCGGATTCGTTGGCGACGCTCCAAATATGTTCTCGTACACAATCGATAGAGCGTCTTCGACCAAAATATTTCCCAGGATACTACAGGACCTGGACGTTAACGAACGAAATGTAGCGATTTCGAGGTTAGAACTACAAAAAAAATCTTGATCGCTGCCCCGTAAAGAGTGTTATCTTTATGACTATATGAGAATATTAAATATTAAATGTGTTTTAATACATACAATAATGATATAAACTTTTTAAATAATAAAAGTAGCTTGGTACTAAGTAAATAATAATAATGCTTCGGATATCTTGAGTGTGTTTTGATAAATCTGGCATATCATCCATGATAATATATGGATAAACAGCAATCCAATGACTGTTATATAGAAATGGTAGCCTTTATAAGTCGATAATTATTAATTTTAAAATAAGCATATTTAAAAAAAAATTTAATTCGTTTTAATACCCTAGTTAGTGACCTAATAACTAAGTTTAAAATTACTAACAGTTTTCATGCTAACTGGGTCACGTGGTTATACTTATAATGTTATAAAATATGCATGTGTACGAAATCATTTTATTTTTTGCTAAAACCCCTTATTACACTAACCACTCAGTGTTGAGATAGGATCTCGTCCCAACAACTACATGGATTGTAGAGTGTGAAATTCCGATATTGATCAGCACATGCCTACATGTCTTACATACTATGGACATTGCTTCCCTAGTTTCAAATGCATTATATTGCATTATATTAAACAGAAAAATAATAATTCTTATAACATTTTTAATTTGTAATACTTATATAGGATATTTAATTATTTTTTATTATTGTCTTCGGTTATAGAGCATTATTGTACGTAATTTTAATATTCATTAAAACACAAACCCAGAAAAATATTATAATATATGTTCGGTTGATGCTACTCTATCAAAGTTTATTCGCTTACATGCACCATTTAACTAAAACTTTCTAAAATTATCAGTATAATGAGGGTCTTGTCTTCCCGTCTCAAATTTTCACCAATTTACATCAATTTTACTGAAGTCAGTCTCGATAATAATATAATAATGCTGTGTATTATCTAGGTTAAGCGATCTATATTTAATAAATAAATATTATTTATACATTATGATATTTTATTTTAACAATAATAATACGAAGCATTCACTACAAAAAAATGAATATTATTGTATGTCGTGCGAACATTTTATAATAGTTTTCTTGTATTTCCCAAACATTTTATAATATATTAATAATATACCTACACATGTTTTAATACATACTATGTAAATACAACCAATTCCAAATAAACGTTGTTGAGGCGTATGTAATGCTGTTTCTACACGAATCTATGAATAATACAGATAACTGATGCGAGTCCTACGCCATTACGAGACGTCCTGCACTTTATCCTCTGTATAAACAAGCTACTTGTTTCGACAGCCCAGAGGTGATATTATGGAAGTGCAGTCAAGACCCATTTAGCCGAATTTCTTCAGCACTTAAAATCATTATACTATAAGCATTTGACGGTAGTGTGAAAAAAAAGGTTGGTCGTGGGTCGTAATTCTTGGTTAGAATTTTATCACACTGCACACATAACTAGGTACTTACTGGCCAACGGCACAGTGAAGCGAAAACTAAAACTATTTTGAAACTGAAGCCGGCGAGACAGACGTGGAGTTGACGAATGGTGACCAGAAGGAAACCGAAAAAAACAGACGACAGCCACGACTATTGCGTAAGACTTGATGACCAAAGAAAAATATCGTGGTTACCCACTCACTGGGCGGTAAACAATTACCGTCACCTCAATCAAGTGGTTGCCGGTGCACGGTACAATCTGGGTTTATACAACATGACAAAAAAAAACATAAATCATCAAAATCTTGTTGGGTTCTAACCAACACGGACCGACTACCGTAATCACAACTGAGTAAGTCTCCGACAATATTGTTTGCGGTAAGTACCACTTACGGACAACCACGATATTTTCCGTTGCAGTAATAAGATTTATAAAAAAAAAGGACATTGCAGACAAATCTCGATAATATTCTAGTTTTTGAGGTACAAAGATACGTACAAACAAATAGTATAATGCAAAGTCTTGATCATCTCCAGCCAGACAACACATTCTGACCATTTTCTGGGGCTTACGAGGCAGGACAAACCAATATCATTATTAACCTTAGAAATGTGGCATAAATTCATAATATTATAAATTAATCAAAGTAAGTCCCTAAAATCGATCTAATTTGTCAATTTTTTTTTTCAAAATAGTTCAGATGGGTCGAGGCTTTTACATAATATTAGAAGAGTAAATGTAGACAAAACATAAATAAGTGCCAAATGGTATTTAGTTAGACAATATAATCATTAGAACTACTAATTTGAAATATGATAAGCATTTTAATTATTTAATTTTTTATACATATCTTGTAGTCAAATACGATTTCGAATCAGGTATAATATGAAGTATTCAAACAACGCCTTTTGAATATATTTTCTTGTGTTCTATATTCGTGTGAAAAATGATAAATACTTTATATACTTTATTAATAGCTATTAATAATAATTTTAATATCTTAATAATTATTGTTGTATGAATAAAAAAGCAAAAGGCTCTTGCATCTGCGAAATTTACCCCAAATGTTTTAACAACATAATAGATACATTTTGTTGGCCTGGATAAAACTTTTTCTTCTAACCGATTTTTTTTGTGCGTAGCGCTTTGTTTATTGCCATAGAAACACAAATCAATAAAAAAAATAAAAATATTATATAAAAACCAATCTATAATAAATCTTGATTCATTAATTTCCTAACAAAATGTATAGCATGCTACTAGATATTTTTCTACCGCACTATACCCAAAAACATAACTTTAATTTTTCAATTTTCTTTGCAGAGGAAAAATATCTAGTATCATACTACATTTGTTTTTTATATTTTTCAACCAATTACCAAAAATCTTGATATTAGACTCGAATTTCAAAATATCAATAAAGTAACTTGTAAACATAATATCAAATAGATTTTATGCAAAATATGCAGTAGCGAATTAGAAGTTTATAAGTAGCTACGGAGATTGGGAAGACCATGAAAACTGACGCCATAGATATTGAACAAAAGATGTAGGTAACTCAAATTGTGTTAATTGTTAAGTATTGGGTAAAATGTTTACAATCAAATGAACAATATTGGAATGTTTACAAATACATATATATATATATATATATTATAATAATATATAAGTGTGTACAGAGTAAGCATTTCTTTTAAATAAAAAGTACCCACCTGGCTCTTTATTTTAAAAACTATATTTACTCATACACACACGACTGTATAACGTCCGACCGACTTACCTTGCACGAATCGCACGACTTGGCGGAGTACTTTTGGTTGCAGTCGTACCTGACCAACACCTCGTTGAACTGACATGACATGGCGGCCGCGATATCGTCCATGTCAAGCGCCTTGTTCACCTGGTCGACGCACGACTCCTTGTCCGCGTACGGCTGCTGTACGACCGACTCGACGGTGTGGTGGCAGCAGTGCCGGAGCCGGTACCGGGACAGCCGGCCGGGCCGGCCGTACGCGCCCGGGTCGTCCGGGCACATGGCCGGTATGAGCTGCCGACGGGCGTATTCAAGGCACTGATGATTACTACTATTTGTATTATTATTATTATTAATATTATTATCATTATCGTTATCGTTATTATAATTATTAATATTATTACTATCGTTATCGTTATTATTATTGTAATCGTAATTAACATTATTATATTTTTTATCATTATTATTATAATTATTATTATTATCGTTATCGTTATCGGCACGTCGGGCGCACGGGATGGCCGCTGGACACCGCGGCGGGCCCGGGCCCTCGCTTATCTGTCCGGTGCACGCCGGCTCCCGGAGCGACACGCGCACCAATTCGCAGGCTGCGGTTCCGGCCGTCGCGTTGTCCGCGACCGGCGGCGGCGGCGACGGTGGTGGCTTTGACGACGACGGGGACGGGGACGAGGGCTGCGGCCCTGTCCGGTGCATCGCGGCGACCACGGAGACCGTGGCCGTGGCGGCCGTGACGGTGGCCGTAGCGGCGTACGCCGCGGCGGACGTTGGCGAGGCGCCGGTTGCGGTCATGACCAGCGCTGCGAGCACCATCGGCCAAATGACGACGAGACGGATGAGACCGCCGCCGGTGCTGGCAGCGCGCATTGTACCGCCGGAACCGGCGCCACCACTCTATCACAACCGATCCGGCCGTTTCGCCGCGGAATCCGCATTTTTCCTCCTTGTACCTGAAACACAAGATGGAACGTTTCAATTTCGATATTATAAAATCGTTAACGTTAGATATTCATCCACGTGAGGGGAGGGGCTAAAGTACTGAACCCGATTTTAATATTATTTTTTTTTTTACTTATAACATTATAATTAACAAATTATAAACAAGATACGTTGTAATAATATGAATAACAATATGTTATTGATCAAAACCAGTTAAACATTTTAATTTAGATAAAAAGTTATTTTTTTTAACCTTTTATCTTCATAATTAACTACCATAATTGACAGTTGCAGAAATTATTTAGGTTTTTCATTTGATTTAAAAAATATTCTATCAAGTTAAAATTAAAATTATTTTTAAATTGTTGGTTTTAAAGTTCATATAAATTAATATCATCTTAGACTATAATAATAATAGTATGTAATAGTACTATAATTTCTGCTGAGCACTTATACCTCGATAAAATAATAGTAAGTACATTGAAGGTGAATTTTTATGTATGCTCACCCCACATATCTTTATCTAATAGTTCATTTATTCGAATTCTAATTTTATCATTATTATTTATCATTTATAATTTGAATAAATGCATTATTTAAGCATCAAATAGGGAATTAGAGCCGAGCATGCATCAAAAATCACCCCGAAAACAAAGATAGGCACACAATTCTCTTTCTGTGATCCAAACTAATTTAAAAAGTAGATTAACTTGTTTTAAACCAAGTTAATTAAATATATTTTTTTTTAATTTAAATTTTAAACTTAGCGAGTTAACTGTATTATTTTTAAACTATCAACTAACTGATTTTGTGATCATTTAACTTGAGTTAATTATTTTCATTTACTTGCCCACCTTTGTAGGTATAATATGTCACAGTGAAACAATTAAATAATGATATATATTGCAGGATAGTAAAAATAATACTATATTAACATAAAACATAACGTATCAACACAAATAATTAAAAATATCAGTAATGAGTTTGAAAAAATTTACTCGAGAGTAAGTTCAAGACTTTTGTATCAATTAAATCAAAATAATTTAGCGTATTACATAAGGAGAAACGATCAATGGGATTATTGAACCCTGTGGACTTCGGTGCGTTACAGAATGTAGGGCAAGAGCTTGATAGCTGTTGATATATCAGTATATAATATAAAAATAATATTTTTTGATAATATTTAATAATTGAACGAAAGCATAATATAATTGTGCTCAGCAGCGGATTTAACGGAGAAAATATAGACATTCGCAAACTCGGCCTCTCACAATTCATTTTTTTAACTCATTCAAAAGCCGAATGGAAAATGGTTCGATCTAATAATTCCAGGAATGATGTATCATGTGTACACTGACTGGTAAAAAAAACTACTCATCTAAAACCGTACTCCAATATTATTGGCAATTTATACTCGTATATTATATATTTATTTTTATGTATATTATATGTCGTCTACTATAATTGTACACAATATTGCAATTAATGATTTTTTTTTTCTAAAATTTAAATTTCAATAATATGAATATTCCGTTTAAAATAAAGCTATTGCGTTACAAATTTGATGTTGACATTTATATAGAGAGGTTCCTAATTAATTCGGAGTTCATTGTAATTCGGTTTAATTATAATTGAAGTAATTTAACTCAAATAATTTATTAAAAAACTAGAAATGTTACCCTCCTACTCCTAAGTAATTATTACATTTTATTGGGCTCTCTGTTATGTTAGCGGACTTTCCATTTTTCCTTAATCCACCATGGAACTTCATACGCGTCCCGTATAGGAATGTATCGAAATGGGATTCGTGTGCAGTCGGTGGTCGATAGCTATGTGGCGGAATGTGTTTTGCGCTCCCGACCTTTTAATCGAGTGAATTTGGTTTTACCTTCAGACTGGGTCCTGCGCTAATGCGTTTACATCCAAATCGATTTCCGATGCAGCCGTTTCAGTAATAATGTCAAATATAGACGATAGATATTATAATGTTATACACGCGATAACCTAACCAGCTCGGCAGTATAGGTGTGCACAGTGTCACGGAAGAGTGTGTGCTGTATAGGCACCTACACCAAAAACAATAAAGAGCAATGACTTAAATTACTATGAAATAAATATGAACAAGAGAACACTAGTCGATTGTAAGCCAATGTACTGTCATTGTTGCGCTTTTAAAACATACAAAATTTTCAATTTCTAACTGAAATTATCATCCAATAAAATCAATAAGATGTCTCACTCATCATTATAAGAAATTTTAAATAATGAAAATATCATATGATATGACCTATTTTCAGCTCGGCCATGAATGCATAATGAAGGTTCAAAATAAAATATAAAAAAAGTTTCTTCTTATTCTTTTTGTGAATTATCAGAGTTAAGATTTATCACGCTTACGATGAGTACACTTCACTATAACAAGGAAAGAGCCGTCGGCTCGTTAAGGGATTTGCATTTTTCATAAGATTACGTGTATACGAGTTTTTTGTCTATAGTGTCATAAAACGGAGTATCGAATCCTCATTTATAACCGTTTAAAGCTTAATACAATTTATTTTTAATAACAATACTTTGTTAATGTAAAAACATGAATAACCTCAAACGATTTTTAAAAATAATAGATAACGTCATGATGGAGTTAAACAAAATATATTATCTAATTATACAAATATGAAACATTTTATCAAAACATTTAAACATATTAAGTAACGTTTCAGCTAATAAGCAAAAATAGTGGTTTAATAATTACAATACGTTACTTATTAGTTGTTATTGATTTTCAAATTTTTATTTTTTTTCTGAAACAGCGTAACCTACCTATAATGATGTTACAATATTGATTATAATATGTGTAATTTGTAATGATCTAGAATTGAACATATTGAATAATGAAACATTACTACAACAGATACAACTGAGTTTACCTGCCTATAATATTCTGAAGTCCTTACATTGAATATTTGCAAGTGAAAGGTTTCAAAAATAAATTTAATCTGCATAAATATTTCATTTTGAATATATCAATGTTTGATACAAGTGAGTATTTTTATACACATGAATCAGGTAGACTAGGGTCATCTTTAGTATTAACACAAGCAAACATTTTGTTTTTTTCAGTATAACTTATGAGGTACTTGACAAAAACGCTTCTAAAACCTTTCCCCGTTAACCGAAATCCTTATTCGAATTTAAAACAAAGGATCACCGCATGACATGTCTAAACACGACCCGTTTAATACGCATTTGGTGACGTGCACAAAACCTGAATCAGCCGTCAGCTTATACCTTTCAAGATCTTTATCCCATTCAAGGATCAAAAAAGAGTGGTCGACAAGTTCAGTCTCCGATTGCGATCTCGGATTGATTGCTTCCGGATCTTTTTCAAATGATCGACCATCAAAAATGTGTAGAATTCTATCCAGTCATAGAAAAATTAATTTTAATATCCATTATTCTAATTTGTAGAAAAAAAATCAAGAGACACATACCATATGTACTGAACGAAAATTAGATTAAGAAAAACAAAAATTGCATATTATAAAATTTTATTTCACATTTTCACAAACCAGCAACTAGATTTAGTATTATTAAAATCAGAGTAGGTACATCTTACAAATATTTTATTTGCTGATTTTATTTACCTTTGTTTTAACAGAAACACTATACCTAATTTGAGCTTTTTTTAAGTGATCAAACGACAAATTTATTAGAATTCTGATGGGATGAGAAATACAAGAAAAAAACGACTGCAAAAATGATAGCTAAATACGTATGAAAATGCTTGTAGTAGTCCTTAAGGAAAAGTGTCGATGTTTGTGAGTTGAAAGTCTGTGCCCTATCAGCAATCTCAATACTCTTTGCGATCCTAAAAATTTTTGGGTTCGGAGCTTTGCATTTAACATTAATTGTAGCCGAGAACAATTAGAAACAATAATTATAAAAATAAAATATGATTATTTGATAATGTAGTTAAAAAAAAAAATCACTACTTCATTACTTTATGAGTTTATTATTTTACAATAATTCAACAATACTATCATTTAAGTAAAACAAAAAAATGGCCATTAAGTGGGTACGTATCCCGTGCTATTGTTCAAAATAAATTGAGTCATAAAAAAAAATATACAATATTATCGAATTGAAAAATTAAAATAAACGATGTCACCAGCTTATCGATTCGTACATAGTGCTTGAAACGGTATTAACACGTCGTACTTTTATACCTGTCAATTTGATTAATTTTTTTGGGGTGTCACCGCCCTATATCGTACACACGACATATAAGACTATGTGCATTGCACTATACGGATAATAATAATAATGTTTACTGGTCATTAAATGATAAAACGTCTATATAGTGTATTTAATACAAAATATATCGACACGCATCGCAGCGTTCAATATAATGTTATTACCACGAAACACGTCATATAATATACTGCAAAAATAGCACAATATTCAATAATATAATGTTTATTTTAATAGGTATATTATATACACCCGGGCATTGTGTTTGTATTTCGTAAAATATAATAATAATATGTCTATTATATCCGGCACGACTGGAGGTAATAATAATAATATTAATATCGTTTATAAAGCCGGTGGTGGTAGTCCGACACCGATATCCACGAAAACGTACTTGTAATACCGATATCGTATTGCATACCGCAGCTATATACATCTCACTTAAAATAATTTAACAAACGAACGCGTTAACTAATCATCAAATATTTTCCTACAGGTATTAAATTCGTATCGTGCGTTCGCGGGACGTTCAATGTGCAAACCGAACTGAGTAAAAAAAAAAATGCCAAGCCCGAGACGATTTATACAATATTATTTAATACCATCTGCACCGTCTATGTAGGGTAGTTGCAGTCGGCCTGGTGTACATATTTGCAGTATCTCCACAATATAATAGTAATAATTATAGTCAGTGTCACGTCACTCAGCAGAGGTATACCCAACACCCACAGACCCACATAATATTGCAATGACACCACCGTCATGTTTAACTATTCGACGGGCGGTTCGTTTTCGTCGGCACGTGTAACCCACCGTCTCTATATACGTACGAGGTACCCTCGAATATCGCATTACGGATTACTTCGGGACAGGCGAAAGTGCAGGCTGTGTGGGGCGGGTGAGACGAATGGACGGATGGTGGGTAGGTGAAAGGGCCGGTAGAGGCTCGCGAAAGTCGGAGCGTTTCCGAGAGAATTCTGAAAACAATGTCTGAACAATATCCAAAGGTTCCCCGCCAGTAAGTGTGCATATTATATTATTGTTACCTATACATAATAAAATGCACTTATAGATATGAAAGTAGTATTATTAGGTATATTCGACGGGCATAGGTACTCTCACACACTGCACATGCTGTTCGCATCTATCTCATATTTTGAAATATTTTGACGTTGTCGGTTGATATATCATCCGTATAATATAAGAAAATATTATTGTTTTAATATGCGTCCGAATTTTCTCGCCATAAGTTTTTCTCGTTCGTCGTATTATAATACCGCAGGAAGCCGCACAGATGACTATAAATTAAATATTTTAAACGTTGCAGCGATGCGTGTGCCTTGAAAAAAATTGACAACAATTAAGCACTCGTAACCGGCAGTTCGTGCTCGACGATAATATGATATTGTTATTGTTACGGCATGAAGCTGCAGGAGGCATAGCGATGATGGCATACAAAATACATATTTATTATAATAATGATATATATATATATATTACTTCTGCAGAGTACCTACCTACGTCCTACACACGATACGTATAAATACGGTTACGAGTGATAATGGCGTGCAGGGCTGCAGATTTCCTTGGGCCTTTTTATTGTCTTATCGATTTTATTCGTAGCCCCGGGGACGTGCAGCAGGAGGCGTACGAAACGAATGCGTATAATAATAATATTATTGTCTTCGGATTGTCAGTCGTCATTATGCGAATATTGTACAAGTCTTTGTATGTGAAAGTACTTATATTAATGATAAACACCGCGTGACGACCGGACGATTACCGTAACGTGGTTTCCGGTAGACTACACACCAACACGGTCGAGGTACGCCCGGTCGACGGGTGGAGGGGCGATGGGGTGGAAAAGAGACGAATAAATTTAACGAACAACTACGTTTCGAAACGATTTTCGATACCTACTAAATAAGCTATCGCATAGTGACCACAGAGGGAGAAGAGAAAACCACGAGGGAAGAAAAATAACATTCCCAGTATTGTACAGTTTATAATATGCAATAGGTAAAAAAAACACATAGATTGACGTAACTAGCAGGAGACTCAAGCCCCCTCCCCCTACCGAAAGAAAGAAGAATATTTTCCATAGCTCGACGACCGATCCAATGTATAGATCTAACAAAATCATATCAGTGTCATAGTATAATTATTATTTGATATTACTAATTATATTGCATTGGTTTTTAATGAATATTGTAATTATATAACTAACACAAATTAATGTTTGATTTGTTCGTACTTTTAACCACCTTCGAAATCATTATATTTATTTAATATTAATGCATCATAGTAAAAATAAGAAGAAAAAAAACTTCTTTAAGAAATAATTTTAGGTTCCGGAATTAACCCCCCCAGATAAAAAGAAGCCAATATATAGATACTCAACTACGCGGTTGTTAAAAAAAAATATATACTTTATATTAATATGATCATAATAATTACTTGACGGATGAGTCGGTAGCGCGTAGTGGTGGCGGTGGCGATGGTGATGGTAATGTTGTACAACAGCTGCAACTGCCTGAGGAAACGACGATTTGACGACTTTGGTGATGCGTTGTAGCGTCGTGTCGACGCCAGAGATCATGTCGCGTCGCCGGGCTGGTGACCCGCACAATCGACCATAACAACACAAGGCCCGCGACGGCGGCGGTCCGCTGGCCGCACACGACGACGACGTTGCCGTAAAACGGTGCGGGCTACGCGGCGGCCCATAATATCAGTGTAGATGGTGGCGTAACGCGGCTGACCACCGAGTCGTCGTCGCCGCCACCGCCGTAGTGGTAATAACAGTCGTTGCAGCACCGGTAAACGCAATAATGGTTATGGTATCAGTATTAGTGGTCGTGGCAACAGTCCGAGTCGGAGTATCACTAGAAGTAGTAGTAGTAGTATTATTCGAAGTAGTATTGGAATTAGTAGTACAAGTAAAAGTAGTGGTAAAAATAGTATCTGTAGTGTCGGCGGTAGTAATGTCGGAAGATGTAGTAGTCGATGCGGCAGCAGCAGCGGTAGTAGTATAGAACGCAGCGACGGTAACAGCGGCAGCGGTGGCAGCAACGGCGGCACGAGTAATAGTGAAGCCGGCGGCGGCAGCAGCGGTAGCGTTAGTAGCGGCGGCGGCGGCGTTGGTAGACATTGACGGCGCGACCGTCGTCGCATACGTCGACGACACCGCCGACGCGGTCATGACCACAGTGGCCGGTGCGCCAGCGTCCGGTGGTAACGCACGTTCTGACCCTTTTCTATGTTCCGGAATTGAAGGATTTAAAGGGAAGGAAAACGACGAGAAATTGAAAATCAAACGACACGAGCGGACTTTTTAGACCGCTCGCCCACGCGGAGTTAATCGCGTTACTTGCTATTGTTGTGGTCGTCGTCGTCTTCGTTACTCTTGTTATAATTATTTATAAAGTACTATGCTATTTTATTATAAGCCCACGGTCGTGATGATCGTTTGTCGGGCGCGAACCGATATCGCTGCTGAGCACGGACACCCGAACACTCGCTAACACCCGCGCTCGCGCACTCACACGCACACAGACGCAAAACACGCGCGCGCCAAACACGCGGCCGCGACGAGAAACACTTGCGAAAATCGGTGGGGGGCGCGACCGTCTGCGAGACTACTCTATACTGCACCGCGTAACGGGGTCCGGGGTATATATAGAGAGGAGCGGCGCGAGAGGGCGCCGCGGCGGTGGCCATCTTTCGCCGCCGCCGGCCGATCGATATGACGCGCACGCGAAGCACCCCCCCCCCCCCCAAGCGCGCACACCCTGCCCACCGAAGCGGTTTTCCCCGGCGCCGGCGCACGCACGCGCCACCGCGGTTTATACCACCGTTACTATATACTTGTGTGTATGTATGTACTTGTACGCTATGTACTTGGATAGATGTATATAATGTATGTATTATATATATATATATATGTATAATGTATATGTAATACGTATATGTATGCACGTCGGGCGTGGTGAAACTCAGCGGCGTGGGGATGAGGGGGAGGGCTGCAAGAGGGGTGGTGCCGCATATACTGTATAGACGCGAGCGCGGGGTGACCGCCACCGCACAGTATTTTATCGGCCGACAGTGAAAAAAGAGTAACACTACGACGACGACGACGACGACGACGACGACGAACAGTATATACGGAACGAGCGGTAATAGTGGTGGCGTTGGCGGTGGCGGCGGTGGCGGAGTATCAGGATGAAAAAAAACCTCTAATAGATAATGTGTTCACTTTCTTTCAACCCCCAAGCCCCACGATCTGCCCATTTCTCTCTATCACCCCCCCCCCTCACTCACGGTTTCTGCCTCTTTCTCACCGTCTCTCTCTCGCCCATTGCTCTCCATCCATCCCCTTTCAGTGCCTCACCCTCTGCAGTACATTCTCTCCGTCGCACTCCCGAAGCCGCGTACGATCAACCACCACCACCGCCCACGCACTATCCCGGTTCCGATAGTTCTGGACACATTCGATCACGGTCGTAAAACGAAAATACAAAAAAAAAAATTGAAACAATCGCCACCCACCCGGCAACCGATCGGCCGCCCATCCGATATATGCTTTCCAGCACGGTGCCGACATGCTTTTATTGCGGGGCCCGTAAGTCATAACCTAATTCGTACACGTGATTCCTACAACTTATAGCCTATAGGTGTATAAACATAAATAAAATTAATATAATATTCTGCTCCCCCCCCCCCCCCCCCCCCCCACACCCCCCCCCCCCCCCCCAAAAAAAAAAAAAAAAAAAAAAAAAAATACCCCCCCCCCCCCCCCACACACACACACACACCGGCTCGGCCAACAAGTAAAACAATCGAATGAGTTAAACGGACTTCAGCGGGGTGTTATGTCTCACCGTTTCACCGAAAATAGATACTCGATATGATACCGATCAGTAGTTCTCCCACGGCTATACACCGTGAAAATACTTGCGGCGATCACTTTAAGATGCTCTTATAAAAATCGATTTCTTTAAATGTGTCGCATTAGTCGAATAATTCATATTTTACTATATAATTATTTTCATAGTAGTGGGCTCAACATTTATGATTCAATAACGGAAACAATTTCGGCGAAAAGCATAACTGTAGCAGATAAACAGATAATAACAATAATTCAAAAATTTAAAAACTAATAAGCATAAAGAAAAACTGTCTGTGGGCGGAGCCGCCACTATCTCCCCTCAAATATGACGCGAAATGCGTTTTTGTTATTATCATTATTATTATCGCTGTATGCGGTCGTTTTGTCACTGATTATTATTATTATTATTATTATCATCACCGGATCGGTGAACAAAATGTATCTTTGACTACTCGGTATGAAAACCTGATAAAAACTCGCCGGTAGTCGCTTATTGAAAAACATCGAACAATGTACATATGTGTGTCAAAAATGAATTCGGAACATGAGCAAGAAGACAAGAAGCATTTCACGTTTCAATAACTTTGACGTGATTTCTTATTTAATAAAAACGCGATTCTTTAATTTGACACGCAAAGTAATCTAATTCTGTTGTCACGATTGAAACATGACGTATTCATCATCGGCATCACACGTGTTTTTCCCCTCCTTTCGGTGATATAATATTGTTAGTGTTATTATGATATTTAAATGGTTATGGAATTAATAATGTACCCACAACATTCGAATTAAAATCACTCGGGTTTTTCCAATATCACTGCGCATTTTTGGGTATAATGTTGATTGTGTCGATTATTGTTAGTAATATTAATGTTCCAGTTCATCTGCATTATCATAATATAGTAATATAATAATCCATATTGACGCGCAAATAACTTCAAATCGTCACCGTGACGAATTATTAATTTCAAGTGAAATTGATACGGTTCATGTATTTTTTGGTACACAAATAATATAATTCTGTCATTCTAAAATAATGCTTATAGCGAACAGATTAAATGAGTCTTTCGAGAAAATAATTTCTTCATATCCGAATTAATATATTTTTTTGTATCTCAATGACACTATATTTTTTTTTATTGGTAAATTACAAAAATGTATTTATAATAAGTATGTTATAAAGATGTGGTTTTTTTATATAATGTTGTTATTTTTATTTTTATTCTACACTTTTTTGATAAAATAAATTATTTATCATTTATACTTAACAGTTACCAACCACGGTATACAAGTATGTGATAGGTACTTGTTAAAAATAATAATATGAAACATAATAAACATAAGTTGATACTTAGACCAAAAGTAATAATTCAAATTAATTTACCCGACGAACATACAAAAAATTAGTATTCTGGTTTTTAAAATGAAAAGCATTTTTGGGGGTATTTATCATAGTTTAAAAATATATTATTTTAAATTATAAATTTCAGTAAAATTACACTAAAATTTCAAAAATGTAATAACTAAAATAATAATGATTTTCATAAAATTAACGTTAAATTCAAACTCGTAAAGTTATCAAAACTTACCACATTTACGGTATTGAATATTTACAAACTATTTATGAACTAAACATTGTAGAAATATGTTATAGGTAATAGATATTAGATGCTGTAGGCATACGTCAAAGTTTTTTCCAAAAAAAGTAATATTTAATCAAACTGAAAACCTTAAATTTATCTACAAAAAAACGTATTAATTTAGTAATATCCATTAGGTAAATCGAATATAAGTTTTGATCTAATTCGACTCAAAATTTAAACAGTTATTTTCAATTTCGCCGATTTCAAACGAACTGGTTTTTTGTTTGTCTTTCATAAAATTATAATTCTAGATGAATTTAAACACTAACCAAAATATTATTTTATGTTTTTAAAGTTATACGTCGTAATTTTGCTTTTAAAAATGTATTTTTTTCCTTTTCTTATGCACTTTTCAATTATATTTAAAAACAAATTAAATCATAACAGTTATAAGGTTATAATTTATAAATGCTGTAGTCGTATAATAATAATAATAGTTAACACTTAACTACTGCCCACTTTTAAAGTTTGCCTACCACAAGTAAGAGGAAATATATGCTACAAAGATTTAAATTATTTACATTGAATCACAGAAAAACAGTGAACCGAAGAACATGAAAATGTATGTGTGTTGCTTAGACAACTTCTGGTGAAAAAATACTATACATGTATAAATAAACCTCAACACAATTTTATTTTAATATTATTCAAAAAGTAAATATTATTTTAATATATTATTATCTAACCAAAAAATTCAACGTTTTTTACCTCGTTTTCTTTCGTTTAAAAGTAATGATATTAATCTATTTGCGTGATAAGGAACGTTTAAATCTACTTAATTTTCAGCCGTATTATCCATTATCATTGTCTGAACGGTTTCTTGGCATCCGTTTGCAGTTCTATACCATTTGGTCTGTCGCCGTTAAAAAGCCACTCCTTTCTATATAAAACAGATCGTTTTCCCTTAGAATTACCCTAATGTATAAGGCAATCGTTTTACGTATAAGGAAATTATTAACGGCCAAGAGTTAATAAACTGTTGAAAATGATAAAATATATTTTTTTGGAAAATAAAACTATCACCGCTTATAGTCAAA